CAAATCGCTGGTTCCCTCATGAATTCGCAAGAGCGCACGCGCGATTCTGTTTTTTGAAAACCCAGATGTGTTCGGGGCACTCGTTGCTGAAATCCGAATGAAACCCAATTGCGGCCGGAGCGCGCGACGACGCGCGCGCGTGCACTTCCCCTGTTTTTGTGCAACAAATGGATTATTGCGACAGCGCGCGCGCAAGGGCGTTCGAACGACGTCGACGCGAGCGCGAGAGAGGCCCGTCTGACAGCATTTCACGGATAGGTTGAGCAACCGATGGTTGTCTTAAGAATCAGCCAGAGCGCGAACGCAGGCTCTCTTTTGTTTGAGTATATATGTTGCACAACCATGAGTTTGCAAATGTCGTCGCGACCCTCGATTCGCAAATCCTTGCGCAACCATGGTTTTTTGAAGGATTTCGGCATGGCACGCGCGACGACGCGCGCGCGCAATTCGCCCCATTCTGCTGTAGCGGATTATTCAACCTGCTGTTGTTTTATTCAACGAGCAGGCGTGTAGCATTCTTACGCAGATGATGTAAGGGGCGGCGCTGGCCTGCCTGGGGCGATATGGAATCAAATGCAAAGATGGGGCAGGATGGGCGATGGGGCAAAACCGAATGTAAATTGCACATCCCCAGGGGGGCCGGTCAGACCCGATGGGGGCCGCATCCTATTACTCCTTTGGGGAAAAAAAAACTGCGTGATTCATGTTGCGCTACCCGCGCGGTGCAATTAATTCCTGTTCGCAGCGAGTTGCCCGCTCCTGTGCGCGTGCAATCACCCCGCCCGCCCACCCGCCACTTAGTTTTCAACGCCCATGCGGCGGCGATAAGGATGAGTGCTTGGAAGGCCGGTGCATCTCCACGGCCGCGCGCGCCCGCGCATGCTCGCGCGCGCAGCGGCCAGGGAGCTTGGCGCCACCGACGCAGCAACGGTGGCGGAAGCCGCTGGACACTACCCCACGGGCACTTCAATGCGAGTCGGCGAGCTGGGCGGGCGCGGCATCATAGCAACGCCGGCAACAGAAGACGCGATGACGATGGTGGCGTCGCTGGTGGCCATCTCGACATCGACGACGGCAAGACCAACGACGGCGCCGATGCTGATCGACGACGATGGTGCCCACGCGTCGGCGATAAAGGCATCGGTGGGAGCTCGACGTGCGCGCGCGGCCGGCGCGTGAGAGTGGCCCGCTTAGTATCATTTGACGCTGATTTTGAATCTTCCCCCACCTCAGCACGCGCGCAAGGGCGCTCGCACGATTTCGTCGCGCGGCGCGAGGGTCCCGTTTGGCCAGATTCCATGAACGAGTGAAAAATAAACGCGCGGTTTCCTGAACAAGTCGCAGGGGCGCGATAGCGGGCACATTTGAACACCGACGTTGCCAAACCATGAATTGTTTCATGCGTTTCGGGGCACTCGACTTTGAAACCCGAATGAAACCTTCCGGTGTTTGAAAGACTCCGGCACGCCCGCGCGACGACGCGCGCGCTTCACCGCGCACGTTGAAAAGGGTTTCTCGCGACACCGTGCGCGCGAGGGCGTTCGAGCGACTCCGACACGCGCGCGCGAGAGGCCCGTGTCGGAGCAAGCAATTCATGATGCAAAAAAGAATTTGGCAAGGCGCGCGCGCGACGACGCGCGCGCGCATTTCGTCCCACGGTTTGCAAGATGTCCAAGAATATGATGATTTGTGTGGTTGACGAATGCGCGCGCATGGTGTGTGTGGCAGAAGATGAAGGGGGCGGCGGTGCCGATGCCGGCCTAGCTGGGATGGTGGGCAGTCAGATCCGAGATGGACGATGGCGCAGAATCACATTTCAGTTGCCATGCCAAACGGGGGCCGTCAATTCAAGGGGGGGTAGATTCTCATTCTCTTATAGACATGGGAATCCACGTGGTGCAATCTACGCGATTCGCTCCAAGTTGTGTAATCGGTGCTATCGGTTTGGTGCCGGCTACGTGTGTCAACCTATGCGGCGCACTTGGTTTTAACGCACGTATTGACACATCCCAGGCCCGTGCAAACATCCCACCCACCCACCCGCAACTTGGTTTTCCGATGCATGCTTGGCGTTGGCTGGTGCATCTCTACTGCCGCGCCGACCCTATTTCCCGCGCGCAGCGGGCAGCTAGTTTGGCGCCGCCGACGCGGCCGCGGTGGCGCTCACCGCCGGGCTCATCCCAGCGGGCACCTCACTGAGAGTTGGCGACCTGGGCGGGCGAGGTATCATGGCAACGCCGGCTACGGTGCGGATGGCGGTGGTGGCGACGCTGGTGACGATGCTCGCACCGACGAAGGCGCAGCCTGCACGGGCGCCGATGCTGATCGCGCCAGCGACGATGACGGCCTCCTCGCGTCGGCGGTGAAGGTTTTGGAAAGAGTTCGACGTGCGCGCGCGGCCGACGCGCGAGTGGCCCGCGCGGTTTGACTTGACACTAGCACGCGCGCAGGTGCGCGAAGGATGTCGGCACGCGGCGCCAGAGGCCCGTTTGGCAGATGTCCATGAAGATGCTGAAACGCGCACGGTTCCAAAAAGATTCCGCGAGAGCGCGCGCTTGTGTTGAAAACTGTTGTTGCGAAACCATGTGTTGTTGAAGTTGTTGGACATGCAACTGTGAAACCGATGCGGAACCGAAAATTGTTGCAGGATTTCGGCATGCGCGCGCGACGACGCGCGCGCGTGTACTCTGCCCCATTTGTTGCAACATATTTTCGCGACGGCACGCGCGCAAGGGCGCCCGGGCGATTCCGACTTAAGCGCGCGCGAAGAACGTTTGGTCGCATTTCCTGGAAATGCAAAAAACGCATGGTTTTCTGGAACATTAGCGCGAGCGCGAACGCCCGTGATTTTGTTTGTTTGAAAATCTGGGGGGCGAGACGCTGTTTTTTTTTGGAGGGGGGTGGCGCTCGATTTTTTCCCAATCAGAGCTTGCCTCTATAGGGGTCCTAGCGGATTAAAGGGTTAGGTCGCCTGTGCCGCCGATTGCCCGGGTGGCCGGGGCCGGGTGCCCGGGTGCCCGAGGGTGCCCGGGGGTGCCCGGGTGCCCGGGTGCCCAGGGGTGCCCGGGTGCCCGGGGTGCCCAGAAGTGCCCGGGGGCGCCTAGCCTAATAGCCCTATATCCCTATAGCCCAATAGCCCAATCGCCCTATATCTCCATAGCACTATAATCTTATAGCCCTATAGCCGTACAGCCCTATAGCCCAATAGCCCAATAGCCCCATAGCCCCATAGCCCCATAGCCCTATAGCCCTATAGCCCTATAGCCCTATAGCCCTATAGCCCTATAGCCCTATAGCCCTGTAGCCCTATGATCCTAACGCCCTATAGCCGTATATAGCCCTGTAGCCTTATAGCCCTATAGCCCGAATAGTCTTATAGCCCTTAGCCCTACAGCCCTACAGCCCTGTAGCCCTATAGCCCTAAAGGCCTCTTGCCCTAAATCCCTATGGCCACATCGCCCTATAGCCCTATAGCCCCATAGCCCTAAAGCCCTAAAACCCCATAGCCCCCCTCCCAAAATTCTGATTGGGTTTTTTCTCTGGTATCATGAGATCCTTATGAAGCCTGCACATGTATTCCGGCATGCGCGCGTGACGACGCGCGCGTGCGCACCCCGTCTTTTGTTGCAAGGGATTCTTGGAAACTGATGATTGTTGATGAACGAGTGCACGCGCATCGTATGTGTTCCAAGAGATGACGGGGGGGTCGATACCGACTGGGCTGGGATGGGGCAGAATCATGAACACATTGCAACGCGAAAATGTATATCGATACGCCCAGAAGGGGGATCCCCAGTCTTTACTAAAGAAGAGAATCTAGGCGGTGCAACTCACCAATGCTCAAGTTGACGTTGTCACGTCCACTCTCGCGCAATCATTCCTCACACCCGCCCAAAACTTGGTCCGCAAAACCAATGCGGGGACAATTGAAATTAATCCTCGGCGTCGGCCAGTGCATCTCAACGGCCGCGCCAGCGCGCGCATGAGTGCGCGCGCAGCTACCAGCTAGTTTGGCGCGACCGACACGGCCGCGGTGGCGCTGACCGCGGATCGCATCCCAGCGGGCACATCAGCGGGAGTCGGGGACTTGAGCGGGAGCGATATCATGGCAAAGTCGACAACGGTAGACTGGAGGATGATCGTAGCGATGTTGGTCGCGATTTTGACAACGATGCTGATCACTGCGGAGACAATGGCGGCGTCATCGCGGCGGTGATAAAGGTGTGGAATGAGTTCGACATGCGCGCGCGGCCGGCGCGCGAGCGGCCCGCATGGTACTATTTCAAGCGGATCGTACCCCCCCAGCACGCGCGCAAGGGTGTTCGAGTGATTTCGGAATGCGGCGCGGGAGGTCCGTGACACCTTTTTTTTGAATTCGCAAGAGCGCGAACGCAAGCTGTTTTGCAAACCCGTGTTGCGAAACCAAATGTGTTTCATATGGTTTTGGTTACTCGAGCTTGAAATCCTAGCGAACCTTCAAGTTGCGAAGGATTTCGGCATGCGCGCGCGTCCCGTTTGCTGCAAGGGGTTCTTCAAAGCTTTGGATGGTTGATGAACGAGCGCGCTCGCATAGCATTCTATTGCTTCTATTGCAGAGGATGGCGGGGGGGGCGATAGCGGCCTGGCTGGGATGGTAGGACTTCGAATTTCGGATGGACGATGTGGCGAAATCATGAAATACGAAATGGGCGACGGATAACCCCGGGGGCGGGGGGAGGTAAATCCTAATCCTTGCTAAGAACATGGGCCGATGCGAGGCGGCGACGGGGCGGTGACAAAGATGACAGGGCGGCGACGGCGAACACGGAACCGCCAGACCGACAATCAGGCCCACACGACGGGCAACGACGAGGCGGCGACGGGGTGGCGACGGCGAGCACGGAACTGCCAGACCGCCGTCCAGGGCCAGTCTCTTTCAAGAGTAAAAACCCCTAAGTGCAAGCATCGTTTGGGGAGAATGACCGATCCTCGAACCCGCCCCCTCGACATTGGATGGCGGCCTCTGTGAGCTCCGCGAGCGTCGAGTACGGGTTCAGCACTACCAGGAGCAAGGCGGTCGCGCTGTTGGTCTTGTGGCCGGGCCGGGCTCCTCCATCGAGGAAGTCGCGGACCTCTCGGTGAGGGAGGGCGACGGCGAGACAGAAGCAAACACCTGCGACGACGAGCACGAAGACGACGACGACGACAAGCGGACAAACACCGGATACGACGACAATCAAAGCGGGGACGAGGCTAGGGGCAACTGGACTGTGACGACGACGGGCACGACGCTGACGAGGGTTGGCGACGACGGTGAGTGGACGACGACGGCGAGTGGGCAACGACGAGGTCGGGCGGACGACAACGAAGTCGCAGACAGAAGAGGAAAGGACTCAGCCGTCCCTCGTCCGAGAGAGTGTCAAGTCGGGCGGTGTGCCCGAGTCTGAGCCTTCAGGGCACCCGGGGGCCCACGGGGGACGGCCCCGCGGCGCGAGATCCGCGCGAACGCTGGGGCCGAGAGAGCCCAACTGCGCGTTGACAAAATCCAAACGTCCGCGGGGAGGCAGGGAAGGGGACGGCGGAGAGGAGGAGGATGACGAGTAGGCACGTGACGGCGACGAGGAGATGGGGCTCGAAGGGAAGAGCCTTGGCCGCCGAGACGCCCTCCTTGTTGTCGTACGCGGTGTCCTCCAAATACTGCATCATCATCTCGGAGCACCAGGCCTTGTCAACCTCTGGGGGGCGGCCCAGACGGAACGGAAATAACCCCTCAAACACGGTATGACCGCGCAGCCCCGGCGGACAGGCGCGACACTGGGCGCCGCAGCCGCACAGCTGGAGCAAGCTCCAGGGATGATCACGGAGATTGCTTCCCTCCCTCTTCCACAACTGTCCGTCCTGCACACCGAACATATTCCAGGCCCCCCCATAACCCCCAAACACCCCGAGAGCCCACTGAAGCAATCCTCACACCCATGCTGGCTCCTCCTGCTGCTGCCCTTCATCCCCCTTCCTCTGACACCGCCTGCGGCTCCCACAAACCCTGGAGGACCAAATTAAGCATCCTCGCGTCCAGGGACCTCCTCAAAGCAAAATTCCTACTCCTCCTCGAAGCTCGAAGCTGGCGGCCTTTGTCCTCTGAGAGGTGCAGCCGTCATCCCCAGGCGTGGCCGACGAGCGCGACGGAGTGGGAGGGGACGACCCCAGGGCGTCCACTCCCAGGTGGAGGTGGAGGAGGAGAAGGGGGAGGAGGAGGAGGAGGAGGAGGGGGAGGAGGAGGAGGAGGAGGAGGAGGAGGAGGAGGAGGAGGAGGAGCAGCTGTTGTCATGTTCTACATGTCCATACAATTATGTTCTTCTTTCCTTCCCTCAACCGGCAGGCGACGGCGTTACTCTGTACCGACGAAGGGCTATTATTTGTCCTTTCTCTGCTCGCCTGGCCTGTGCTGCACGTGCCGTCTGCTCAATGTGCTAGTCGCTTTGCCTGAGTCGGCCGCGCACGTTTTTAACCCACAGGAGCGCTACATCCACCGCGCTAGAGTCTGACCATCGTCAGAAAGGAGTGTGTCCTGAGGGGTCCCTGAGGGGTCCTGATGCGACCCAGCGAGCGGGGGGGAGGCTTCGCAGAAGGGATACATGGACATAGGCACGCACGAGCGTAACATTCGGACAACAGATAGGAACATACAAGAGATGGGTGGGGAAGATGCACATCCCAAGAAGCTGGAAAAGTACGGGGAGCCCTCGAAGGCCGGTGTCTACTTTCTCGTGTCTCCCAGGGCCCCTCTGCTTTTCCGGGCCACTCTGCGTTCGGGCGCACCTTGCCCGCTTCTGCCTGCCGCTCTGCCTCCGCGCGCCCGCTGCCTGTCCTCTGGCCTTTTGGTTGCTCTCTCTCTCTCTCTCTCTATCTCTCTGTTGTCTGTCCTCGGGGGCGGCTGGGAGGGGGGTGACGACAGGGGGGGGATCTCATGGCCAGAGTCGTGCTATCTCACCTGGTCCGTGCACATGCCTCGGATCGGACCATGGACCATGATTCGAACCATACCTACAGTGGAGGCCCATGCCAAGAAACACCCTGCTCGCCTCAATGGTACCCTTTTTGGGGGGGTCGATGGTTTTACAATGGACAATGGAAAGCGTGACGTTACCACGCCGAAAATCAGTGGACGCCCAGGGGTCTCAGGGTTGGGTTTCTTGTGGAAGGTTTCTTGTTGTCGGGCCTCCACTGTACCTATTTGGCACCAGTGGCTAACTGGGACTAAGATCATCGGGGCCACACAGGCCTGAGGTGAATATGGTATAGAGTAGGTGTCGCGTTGCAATACTATTGCGCTGCCGGGACGGACAGGTCCCCATATTCGGTCGCCGAGGTCTTCCCTCGTGGCGCTGCTCGACCAGCGCCGCCGGCTTTTCCCTCGGACCATACTTTGCGACCCCCCCCCGTGTGGACGCGCCCGATGACCGTGATGGGCCGCGCACGCCCGCCCCGTATGCTCGCGCAGCGCGGACGCGCCAGCCCGTTTCCAGGCCGGCGGAGGAGGAGGTCGAACTGGGGTCGAACTAGAGTCAAACAGATCCGTGAGGTGGGCCCCAGGAAGGTTCCCAACACGAGCATCTAATCCTCCTCATCCTCCCCCTCCTCCTGTCGATCAAAGTTATGGCCCTCATGGATTGGGCGCTGAGAAGAAGAACGGGATCCCAGGCTGGACCCTCGCCGTTGGAGGCCATTCGTCATGGGGGCCTCATCCCTCAGAACCCCACGGGCCCAGCTATGAACCGCAGATTCTATAAAAGGACCCCACAAACAAAAATGGCTAGATACATACTTCGGGATTCCCCATGCTACTTTTCAATATTTGCTGCAGTCTGGTCTTCCCCTCGATTTCCCATAACTGCCCATCTGTTCGCGGCTTACGACATTTATGTGCGCCTGTGTCTACCTCTGGGTCGGGCCTGTCCCCCCTGCAGGCGGATTTTTGACAAACTATTGACAAGCACAAGCAAAAGCAAACATAGGCACAACAAGGCACGACAAAACGCCAACACACTATGTTTAGGAACATGCCCGACTTAAAGCTATCTGTTCCTCCTAACCCTGTCTGCCCCCAACCGCCCCCCCCGCCCCGCGACGGACCTCCTTGTTCCCTACCCTGGCGCGCAGGTCCGCGAGGAACTCGCCGTGGAGCCGGGAGGGGAACGTCGACCTAAGCCAGGAGGTGAGCTCCCAGACCTGGGGCGGGCTCTTTCGAGGAGCGCTGTCCCCACGCCGACGCCCCCGTTGATGACGTCGTCGACGTCTTCGTTGTCGTCGTTGGCGACGTTTTCGTCGTCGTGGTCGTGGTCGTGGTCGTGGTCGTGGTCGTCGTCGGCGTCGGCGTCGGGTCGTTGTCGTCGTTGGCGTCGGCGTCGGCGTCGTCGTCGTCGTCGTCGGCGTCGGCGTCGGCGTCGTCGTCGTCGTCGGCGTCGGCGTCGGCGTCGGCGTCGGCGTCGTGTCGTCGTCGTCGTCGCCGGCCTCGGCGTCGGCGTCGGCGTCGTCGGCGTCGTCGTCGTCCTCCACGTCGGTGGCGTCGAATCGGCGCCAGCAGCGCCTCACGCCGAGCCCGCGCGGCAGCAGCTGGCCGACGAAGCGCGGCGCCCTTCCCCTTGGAACGGGAGGGCCGCCGGCCGCCCACGGGGCGGAGGTGCGCGCGCCTTCCTTAGAAGAAGAACGGCACAAGCATAACCTCTAGCATGAAAAAACACAAGCGGCATGACCATAACATAAAAAACAGCGCGGAGGAAAACGACGCATGAAGAAGAGCAGCTCCTCATACTGCAAGTCTCAAGCGGCGTGCGTGTAGAAAGCAAAACAACAGCACGCAAGGCAAAACAGGCACAACTTTGGCATAGAAGACGGAAGTGCAGAACCATTTAATTCTTTGACGCTCCGCGCGGATATCTTGGATCTGCGGTGGATCCCCTCGCTGGCGCCCGGCGCGCGGAGCGCGCCGGGGGCGGCGCCGGAAGCGCCCCCAGGGGGCCCCCCCGCCGCGCAGACCCCAGAGACCCGCGCGGAGCGCCAGGAGTTCGTGCTGGCGCCGCTGCGCTTTCCTTCGGTTCCTGGGGCGCGGGCGCGCTCAGGGGCGAGGGGGGGGGGAAGCTGGAAAGAGAAGACAAGGGAGGGGAGGGGACGGGAGGGGGAGGGGAAGGGAGGAGAAGGGAGGAGGGGGGGAGGGGAAGCTGGAAGCTGGATGTGGGGCGGGGGGGGGTAGGGGCAGCTGGAAGGAGAGGAGCAGGGCGTTCCAGGGAAAGCCTGCGCCCGACGGCGCGCCTCCTCGCCCCCGGGCGGAGAGGCGCGCGGGGAAGCGGGAACGGCGGCGGGCCCGCGCCGGCGGGCCCCGGTGAAAGCGGGAGGCTCGGCGGCGAGCGCGGAGGGGGAGCGAGAAGGGGCGGGCCTCCTCTTTGGACGCCCGACATGGGTACGGAAAGACCGGGTACAATGCCCAACAACAGATCTTGTCCCAAACCAACAGCGGCCGCTGTTGGGCAGGCGGCCTTCAGTCTCGAATGGACACAGGCCGCGGCGACACCGACGGCGAGTCTTGTTCAAAATGAACAGGAACTGCTGTTGGGCATTGTACCCATTCTTTCCGTACCCATTTCGGGCGTCCAGATCCTCAGCAGGCTTGGAAGTCCCCCGGCCTCCCGAAGAGTGTTCTGGGCCTCCCCCGGAGGTGCAGAAAGCTTTCCAGAAGGCGCGGGGGGGCACTGGCGTCTGAGCAGGCCTCCTCCTTCTCACTCCCCCCCCCCCCTCGCTCGCCGCCGAGAGACGCAAGCGTCTCTGAGTTCGGGGCTGCTGGGACTGACCGGCTGGGGCAAGCCCAAAATATGGGGGCAAACCGATCTGAGCCAACAGGTGATTTCCCAGATCTGGGGCCCGAGGGGGGGGAGACATCAGAGGATGGGGTGCAGAGGTTCTTCGCCCTCGCGAGCTAGACCGCCACGAGAGCAAGAAAGACACAGGCAGGCGAGATCGGGCTCCCTTAGGACGGACATATTTCTGTTCCTGCAGCACGGCCCGCAATGGCGATCTGATGTGAAGAACGGTGCCACCAGCGCAATCAAAAAATATGGGCTAGTCAAGAAGCAGCCGTAATTTGGTCCAGGGGACGCGCCAGGGGGGAGGGCCCCAGGACGTGGGAAGGAGAGGGGAGCGCACCCGGGCTCGAATGCCGTCTGGAATCCTTGGGGACGGTCGCCGCGGGGCGTCCTGGGGAGTGGCCCCAGGATGTGCCGCAAGGCGTTCCCGACATTCTCTCCCACGCAACGCGGCCCACAGCGGCGGCGTGATGCGAGGAATGGCGCCTCCAACGCAGCCGAAACTCTTTGGCGTCGGCGGCGAGGCAAGGGGTCGTCTGCGCCAGCGGAAACGCCTAAACGGGGGCGCCATTAAAGAGAATTGTGCCCCGATGCTTGAGCGGAGGACGAGGCCGAAGGAAGGGGGGCAGAGGGAGCGAGCCGCTCAGGGGGACGGGTCACGCCCCGATCGCGTGGCGCGGCCAGCCTCGCCGGCGGGCCCGCGGCGGCTGCTGCACCAGGGGGCCGGCGGCGGCGGGGCGCAGCGCAAGGCAGCACAATCGAAACACAGCATGTCGGTAAGCAGTCCTGCCACTGGACCGTTCTCGCCCGTTCCCCGCCCTCGCCCGTTCCAAAGGAAGGCGGGGGAGAGAATGGAAGGGTACCGAGGCACACACACACACACACATACATCCAAGACGTGCTGCCCTCAAAAGTTACTGCCCAGGGCAACGAACAATGACGCGAAGGTAAAAAACTCTCAGGTCCGCGCGGATTTCGCGGATCGGCGCTCGATCCACCTCCCCGGCGCCCATCCGATGAATCCGCGCGGACCTCCGAGTTCTCATGCTCATGTCACTGGTCGTTCCCCCGTAGGCTTGCCTTCAAAAACGTGTTCTTTCAGGGGGGGCCCACCGCCGCCACCAAATTGCCACCACCTGCTGGCGACGCGCACGGCGAGCGCGGGGCGCGGCGTTCCAAGGGAAGGCGCGGCGCGGGGCTCTCCCTCAAAGGGCTCCAGGGGGGCCTGGCCGAAAGCTCCTGAGGGGGCCTCTCCAGGAGGGCCTCCTCCTCCTCCTCCTCCTCCTCCTCCTCCTCCTCCTCTTCCTCCTCCTCCTCCTCCTCCTCCTCCTCCTCCTCCTCCTCCTCCTCTGCGAGCCGGGAGGACTTCTGAGAGATCCCCTGCCTCTTTCGGGTGCGCCGGAACCCCCCCACACCACCACCACCACCACCTCCCCCCTCTGAGAGCACAGCAGGGCCAAGACCACTCCGAGGAGCACTTTTCGGGAAGGCCTGCGCTGCAAGGCGGTGGGGGCTCCTGTGAAAACTCCCCTGCCTGCTCGCATGGCCCCTCTCGCGCCCCGTCCGACCCGCTCCCTGTGCGCCGCCGGGCCCAGATGGGGCCCGGGATCTCCTGGCTCGCGGGACGCGGGGGGGGGGGGGGCAAGGTGCCGACAGCGCCCAGGGAGGTGGCCCTGATTTCAGCGCGCTGGCACTGCTGAGCCAGCCAGGGGTAGCCCGGTGGCAAGAGAGAGACAGAGAAAGAGAGAGCTGGAGAGAGGGAGAGAGGGAGAGAGAGAAGAAAGAGAGAGAGAGAGAGAAAACAAAAAATCTAGCCAAAGTGACGTATCCCCAAAAAGGGTGTTCAAACCCACTGCGGTTTCCAAGGTCGATTGCATGCCCGTCCAGTGCGGGCTGGCATGGCATGTTAGAACGTTATAACATGATGTTTGCACCAGGGATGTTTACACGAAAACTTGCATGACGCACACCGATCAGGAAGCTAACGCACGTCTCAAAAGAAACATCGTGACGTGGGATGTATGAGGAGGGCGGAAGGCAGGGCGCGCATGACGGATGCTGAGGCGGCAGAAACGACGACGGCGGGGACGGGGAGGCGGAGGCAGAGGCGCAGCAGCGGGAGGCGGGAGGCGGGAGAGGGGGGAGGGACGAGGAGCCATGCGGGAAGCGGGAAGAGAGAGGCGGGAGAAGGAATGAGAGAGGTTGTGATTGGGGCCCCTGTGCTCAGCGTCTCAGGATTGGAAGAAACGAAGCGTCTCGGGCAGAACGGGCCAGACCATCTCGCGCGCAACAGATTCGAGCTTCGCATTGTGAGGATGGCTCAAGCGAAACGGGCCGGACCACCTCGCGAGCGACATCTTTGGGCTCAGTATTGGAAGGATGTCTCAAACGAAACGGGCCGGACAACCTCTCGCACACGTTCTGACAAGTCCACGTCATACTCGCTTCCCGTTAGTCCTGTCCTGCAACTCCCTTCCTTCTCCCTCCTCCTCCTCTTCCTCCTCCTCCTCCCCTCCTCCTGCCTGCTCCCTCATCCACATCATCTTCCTCCTCCTTCTCCCTTTCATCTCCTCCTCCTTCTCCTCCTCCTCCACCTCTTCATCCCGAACGGCATCTCGGAGCCCAGAGTTGCGAGGATCTCTCCAGCGTAACGGGCTGGACGACCTTGCGCGCGGCATCTCGTACCCCAGAGTTGCGACGATGTCTCGGTCGAAACGTCCTGCGAAGAAGCCTCAGGCGAAACGGGCCGGACCACCTCGGGCGCGGCGTCTCAGAGCTTCGAGTTGCGGGGGCCTCCTGTGGCCTTCTGGACCCCACCTGGAGCTTCCTGAAGCCCGGCGTCTCAGAGCTCCGAAGTGCGGGGGTCTCCTGGGGCCTCCTGTGGACCTCCTGGGGTTTCCTCCTGGGTCTCCTGGGGCTCCCAGGGGGGATATCTAACATGTTGCCGTCTGGGACCCCCAGAATGAGGGGGGGGGCCACAAGAGAAGGAAAAATCAACGAATCGTCACCGGATATGTATTAACTTGACACGTTCTGATAGGGGGCCTCCTGGGGCCTCGTGGGAGACTCCTGGGAATCTCCTGGGGAACCATGGGGCCTGTCCTGGGCGTCCTGCGGCCTCCTGAAGCTCTCTGGGGCATCCTGGGGCTCCCAGGGTCCCAGGGGGGATATGTAACATGTGGTCTTCTGGGCCCCCAGGCTGGACCACCTCTCGCGCGGCATCTGGGAGCTCAGAGTTGCGAGGATGTCTCAGGCGAAACGCGCCAGACCACCTCGCGCACGGCATCTCAGAGCTCAGAGTTGAGAGGATGTCTCAGGCGAGACGGGCCGGACCACCTCGCGCAGGGCATCTCAGAGCTCAGAGTTGCGAGGATGTCTCAGGCGAAACGGGCTAGACTACGTCGGGCGCGGCATCTTCGAGGTCAGAATTGTAAGGATTTCCCAAGCGAAATGGGCTGGACCACCGCTTGCGCGGCAGCTGGGAGCTCAGAGTTTCGAGGATATCTCAAGCGAAACGGGCCAGACCGCCTCGCGCGCGGCATCTCAGCGCCCAGCATTTCGAGGACGTCTCGACGAAACGGGCCGGACCACCTCTCGCGCGGCATCTCGGAAGACAAAAGTGCGAGGATGTCTCAAGTGAAACGGGCCGGACCACCTCTTGAGCGGCATCTCGGGGCTCAGAGTTGCGAGGATGTCTCAAAAGAAACGGGCCGGACCACCTCTCGCGCGGCATCTGAGAGCGCAGAACTGTGAGGATGTCTCAAGCAAAACGGGCCGGACCACCTCGCGCACGGCATATCAGGGCTCAGAGTTTGGAGGATGTCTCAGGCGAAACGCGCCAGACCACCTCTCACGCCGCATCTCGGAGCCTAGAGTTTCGAGGATGTCTCAGGCGAAATGGGCTGGACCACCTCTTGCGCGGCATCTCAGAAGTCAGAGTTGCGAGGATGTCTCAGGCGAAACGCGCCAGACCAACTCGCGCACGGCATCTCAGAGCTCAGAGTTTGGAGGATGTCTCAGACGATACGGGCCGGACCACCTCTCGCGCGGCATCTGGGAGCATAGAGTTTGGAGGATGTCTCAGGCGAAACGGGCCGGACCACCTCTTGCGCGGCATCTGGGAGCCAAGAGTTTCTTGGATGTCTCAGGCGAAACGGGCCGGACCACCTCTCGCGCGGCTTCTGGGAACCTAGAGTTTGGTGGATGTCTCAGGCGAAACGCCCAATCCAGGACACTTCAGAAACGAGAGTTGCGAGGATGTCTCAGGCGAAACGGCCCGGACCACCACATTTGTTTGAAGACGTCTCTGCTTTGAATTCCCTCGGCCGGAGTTAGCTTCTATCACAACAGCACCCCGTTCAGCAAGCTGTTTGGGGAAGACAGCGATAAATTAAGAAAACAGGGAAAGAAGAGAGAGAGAGAGAGAAACAAGTAATAGTAGTACTAATAAGAATGCTGATAATAATAATAAAAATAATACTATATCAATAATAATAATGATCACACTAATAATGTTAACCATAAAAATAACAAGGATAATACAATAATAACAACATTACCCTGGCGACGTACCCAACCCCTGCGCAAAAGCGGGGCGCAAATAGTTTAGGATACTTTATAAGGGGGCGATGACGGAGCGAGGGTTACATATGTCTGCAACGGAATTCGGGAGACTCGCAGGACACTGGCTACAGGAAAAGGGCTTGATAAAGCTGATGATTTACAATTCCTGAGCACTCCTAGCCACTTCGAAAACGGGGATCACAGCAGGCCTCGAAAGTGGCGACAGGTTCACAGATCGCAGCCCCGCAGGGATGGCGAGGTCTCATTTGAATCTGCCCGTGGCCCTCACTGTGCTGGGCCCCCCAGCAGGCCTCGAAAATGGCGGCAGTTTCGCAGATCGCAGCCCCCCAGGGATGGCGAGGTCTAATTTGAATCCGCGCGTGGCCCTCACTGTGCTGGGCCCCCCAGCAGGCCTCGAAAATGGCGACAGTTTCGCAGATCGCAGCCCCCCAGGGATGGCGAGGTCTAATTTGAATCCGCGCGTGGCCCTCACTGTGCTGGGCCCCCCAGCAGGCCTCGAAAATGGCGACAGTTTCGCAGATCGCAGCCCCCCAGGGATGGCGAGGTCTAATTTGAATCCGCGCGTGGCCCTCACTGTGCTGGGCCCCCCAGCAGGCCTCGAAAATGGCGACAGTTTCGCAGATCGCAGCCCCCCAGGGATGGCGAGGTCTAATTTGAATCGCGCGTGGCCCTCACTGTGCTGGGCCCCCCAGCAGGCCTCGAAAATGGCGACAGTTTCGCAGATCGCAGCCCCCCAGGGATGGCGAGGTCTAATTTGAATCCGCGCGTGGCCCTCACTGTGCTGGGCCCCCCAGCAGGCCTCGAAAATGGCGACAGTTTCGCAGATCGCAGCCCCCCAGGGATGGCGAGGTCTAATTTGAATCCGCGCGTGGCCCTCACTGTGCTGGGCCCCCCAGCAGGCCTCGAAAATGGCGACAGTTTCGCAGATCGCAGCCCCCCAGGGATGGCGAGGTCTAATTTGAATCCGCGCGTGCCCTCACTGTGCTGGGCCCCCCAGCAGGCCTCGAAAATGGCGACAGTTTCGCAGATCGCAGCCCCCCAGGGATGGCGAGGTCTAATTTGAATCTGCGCGTGGCCCTCACTGTGCTGGGCCCCCCAGCAGGCCTCGAAAATGGCGACAGTTTCGCAGATCGCAGCCCCCCAGGGATGGCGAGGTCTAATTTGAATCCGCGCGTGGCCCTCACTGTGCTGGGCCCCCCAGCAGGCCTCGAAAATGGCGACAGTTTCGCAGATCGCAGCCCCCCAGGGATGGCGAGGTCTAATTTGAATCCGCGCGTGGCCCTCACTGTGCTGGGCCCCCCAGCAGGCCTCGAAAGTGGCGACAGTTTCACAGATCGCAGCCCCCCAGGGATGGCGAGGTCTAATTTGGTCCGCCGTGGCCCTCACTGTGCTGGGCCCCCCAGCAGGCCTCGAAAATGGCGACAGTTTCGCAGATCGCAGCCCCCCGCAGGCAAGACAGGAAAAGGCGGGAGGCGGGAGAAGGGACGCGACCACACTGCTCTATTCAAAACGAATACCCAACCAAGGAGGGTTGGGAAAATAATGCGAATAATAATAATAGAAAGAGAAAGAGAGAGAGAGAGAGAGAGAGAGAGAGAGAGAGAGAGAGAGAGAAAGAAAAAAAGAGAGAAAGAGTAACATCAAAGAAAGCGAGCAAGAGAGAGAGAGAGAGAGAGAGTGCGAGAGAGAGAGAGAGAGGAATAGGGGACGAGAAATGGAGAAACATAAACGAAAAGGGCGACACGACAGAGCCCGCGGATTTGGAAGAGACGGGGGGTCGCCCGCTGAGAAAGCACGGTTTTACTACACGGCCACCGCCCCTCACCCCCCTCTTAGGTGAACAAGCTGCGCAAGCATAGTCTTCTGGGGGTCCGCACGGATGTCCTGATCGGCTTAGCGTCAGGTCGGGCACGTCCCCCTAAAGGCGGATTTTGAAGGACAAGTAAAATAACACCCCAATTAATACTAACAAGCAACATGTTTGAAAAAATCGTCCCCTGACTATTTTTAGTATTATTGACTTGTCTTCCTGTAGAGGGACATGCCCGACTGAAGTTTAGCGATGGGCACCCTCCCTGGCGCACGGAGCGCGCCAGGGGGGGCTAGCGCCGATCCAACAAACCCGTGCGGAACTCAAAAAAACAAGGCTTATGCACGGTTTTGCCTCCTGCGTCAATTTGCCGATTTTTGCCTCCCTCATCAATTTGCTGATGGCCCTGGGGCCTTTACGGGGGGCCGTACGTTCATTGATTGCCAGACTTACACGCCAGTCGGAAGAAGTGCGTATAACCGTGAGGTAGGAAGGCGTTGGGAGAAACTTGGGTCTCTGCCCGCTCCCAGAAGACGAATGGAATAGGAACAGCACTTGATCCTTGAAGTAGGAAGGCGCCTAGAACTTGATTGGAACCTGGACATCCCCCAAAGTTTACTGTCAGCGACTTTCAACGACCGAAACCATGCGAAAATGAAGCGGAAACTCCCACCTCGGACTTTCTAAGACGCGGATCTCCCCGCAAAACAAAAATAAACGGACACGACGGCAAAGGAGGGCACCCGTCGGCATCGAACCAACTTGACGAGACTGACGAGTCTGCCTAAAAGTACGGCGGACTCGAAGTCAGGGGACGGGAAAACTAGGGCTGACCTGAACATCGTTCGCGAGCATTTTTCCCGAGCTGTTTACGAATCGCCCGTTTTGAAAATCGCTGCTTCCCTGCAACCGAGCGGCCGTGGACAAGGCCCTTCGGTGCCCTGGAGTTTGCGAACAAGTGGTCCCAAACCGTTGACGAAACGTCTGCGAGCATCCAAAACACGAACCTGTTTTTTTCTCACCCCCTCGGACACATTGTAAGGCCACCCCTGTAGGATGCCTAACAACAAGCGTTGCCCAAAGCCCACCGCGGCCGCTGCTGGGCAGGCGGCCTCCTGCGTCGAACGGACAACGACCGCGGCGACGCCGACAACGAATCCAGTTCAGAATGAACACACAATTGCTGTTGGACTTGGCACGGCCGGGCCCAGGACAGAAAAGCACCCTCCAAGAACATGAAACCCGCCGCCTGCAAAAATGACGCACGAACAAAAACATAAAACGATCTTTTTCATGCTTATGCAAAGAAAAAAAACACGCGAGGAGGCCCTCCCCCCAAAATGCACACGAACATCCAACAGCACGGAGAACACGCGGGCACACTTTACCTGCGCGAGAGGGTCGCCCCGTGGCTTAGGAAGAAAGAGGTGAGCAGCAGGGGAAGGGAGGAGAAGAAGAGGAGAAGGCAGCAGCAAAAGCAGCAGTGCTCAGCCGGGCTCCGGCTTTGTGCAGACCGGCGCCGCGCGCCGCGCGGCTAGTCCCACCTAGATCTCATACCTCGGTCCCACCGTACCCATCGTCTACGTACCGATCCAGGCTCCCACGAACAGTGTCCAGAGGACTCGGGGATCTTCTGGCCCGGGTCAATCCAGACCCGGGTCAGTCAGGCCTGACAGAAGCCTGCAAGATCGGGCCCGATCCTGCATCCAGACCAGGGTCAATGCGAAGGATCCTGCAAGATCCTGCAGGATCCTGCACCCAAGCCAGGGTCAGTGCGACCCTGGCGCAGCAGGATCCTGCAAGATCGGGCGCTCTGGCTGACCCCCATTCGCACTGAACCCCGTCTCTTGAGCCCCGACCTGTAGTTTCCGTACCGATTCCGGCTTCCAGGAAACAGTGTCCGGAGGACCCCCCCTGCCCGGCGCCAGGACGTGCGCGCGCGACGGCAGGTGGCCTTCTCGGGCGGCAGCGGCAGCTGCGGACAGGACACCAGCGCACGCACGGCCGCGAGCTGGGCAAGCTGCGCCTGCTCGCTGGGGAGCGCCCCGCCCCGCGCCACCGAGGGGGGAGACTCTCCCCTCCTCCTCCTCCTCCTCCTCCTCCTCCTCCTCCTCTCTCCTCCTCCTCCTCCTCCTCCTCCTCCTCCCTCCTCCCTCTCCTCCCCCCCTCCTCCTCCTCACTCCTCTCCTCTCTCTCGCCAGGAGGAGGCTCCTCTTCTTCTCCTCTCCTCCTCCTCCTCCTCCTCCTCCTCCTGCTCATCCTCCTCCTCCTTCTCCTCCTCCCCTCACTCCTCCTCCTCCTCCTCCTCCTCCTCCTCACTCCTCCTCCTCCTCCTCCTCCTCCTCCTCCTCCTCCTCCTCCTCCTCCTCCTCCTCCTCACGCCTCCTCCTCCTCATCTGCCGCCGAGGCAAGGGCCAGCGCGCTGACCTGTGCTCCTCTCCTCTCTGGGAGCGGCGCGTGAATACACAAAGGGTTACCTGGGCCCTGTCCCATGGGGCTTCGCAGAAACGCAGCGGGACACCGTGCAGGGCATCATTTTCTAGCCGGCTCCCTGGGCGGCAGATATAGGAACCAATCTATACACCGTGTCTGCGCCGCCATATGCCAATGTGTGGTGGACAAACATAACATGGTATATCTAGTGGACATTCTCCTGGCCCCGAGACTCCCCTGTCGCTGTGTTGGTCGTTCTCCCCTCTGCGCTCGTCGTCGCCGTCCTCCTCCGGCCTGTGGGGACCAGCGCGGGGTTACAGTCAACCCGTATCATAAGGACGCACGATGAGGATGCAAGGGCCTTGGAAGACCGTCTCGAAGCTTTTCGAGCGGGGCGCGGCCGAAGAAAGCATCCAAGAATGGACCGAGGAGGGAAGGATGCAAGGGCACCCTCTGCCCATCCTAACCATGCGGGTCGACTGTATCCCTGAGCTGTCGCCCGGCGCCCCCACATGCAGCGTTTTCTTGTTTGTGCCCGCTGGGGGTGGAGGCCGCGGCGCTTCCCGCCTCCAGGGTCAGGGGCCTCAGAGGCGATTTTGCCTCCCAGCAGATGCACATCCTCGCGCTGGCAACATGTTAGCCAACGTGGACACCAGGTGGCCTCAGCTTAGTGGCATGAGCTGAACGGTGAGCACAGGGCGCACGAGGCGTCACGGGCCGGCACGGTGGCGACATGGGCCAGCAGGGTATGAACTGCGCGGTGAGCTGGAGGAGGAGGAGGAGCAGGAAGAGGAGGAGGAGGAGGAGGAGGAGGACGAGGAGGAGGAGAAGGAGGAGGAGGAGGAGGATTGGGGGAGGAGGAGGACGCGGAGGAGGAGAAGGAGAAGGAGGAGGAAGAGGAACCCCACCGTGCCCCCCCGAGCGCAAGGCGCCCACGGGGCGCCCAGGGGGAGGCGACACGGGCCCTGCAGCGTGGCGAAACCCCGCCTTGCCCATCAAGGCCATTCGGTGAACAAATAAAAGCCCCGAAGCCACCAGGAGGCGTCCCAGGAGGCCCTCAAGTAGAAACACTCGTCCCATTCCCTAGGGCAAACGTATATGTTAAGCACATTCGCCCCTCGGCCGTTCACGAGGCTCACAACAGCCCAAGAAGCCTCTAAGGTCGACCCAAGATAGCCTCAGAGGCCCCCAAGAGGGCTCCGAGACGGCCCAAGGGTTCGGCGGTGCGGCGTAAGCCATTGAATAAGAGCCCCGAAGTAAAGCACTGTTTAGGAAAAACACGACTGATGGGCAAACCTTCCACCACCACTACCACCGAGGACGGGGGAGAAGGGAGGGTGAGAAGGTTCTCCTCCTCCTCCTCCTCCTCCTCCTCCCTCTCCTACCTGTGGTAGTGGTGGTGGAAAGTGGGCCCATTAACGATGGGGCCCTCACCAGGCCACGAAGACGTGAAGAAGCAGCTCAGGAGACAGAGCCTCTCGAGCGAGGCGGCGCTGGCCTGAACGCGGGCTTGAGGCTAACCCACAGAGGTTGATGTTACTGGGGGGAACAGAAGAGTTCCAGGGAAGGGGTCCGAACCTGTGTGGGTTTACTTTGTAGGCATGTGCGTGTATCTAGTGCGAATATATATATATATATATATATATATATATATATATATATATATGTTATACAGAAGGGGCACGCCGTCGGGGATCTGGGCCTCTCGCCGAGGATGGGGGGCGAGCCGGCACGGAGGACACGACCGCGAAGCTCCTGTTGGAGAGGGGGTCCCTTGGAGTGCGTGGTGCCGCTTCTGGGCCGCTGCGCCCCGAGAAGGGGCGCCCCCTCCCTCGCCAAAGAGCGTGGGGGGGCAAAACTGGGTTTAGTGGAACCTGGTTTCGTGATTTGTACCGGGGGCGCCCCCCGCGTCCCATGTCCACTAACCGGAACGGCCGTCACCCGAAAAACACCAGGCACGGCAAACCTGGCTTAGCGAATCTGGCCGATTGAGGGGCCCCAGGGCCCTACCACTAACCGGGCCCCCTTACCCGGGGTCCTGGCTACACCCGACAAAAACGGGGGGCGGAGACGACCGGCCCAGCGGCGACGACGGGTCCGGAAGGCAAGAGGGGTCCTGGACAGGCTGGTCGCCGTGTTCGGGCCGCCCCGCCTTAAGAGAGGGGGCGGCTCCTCTCTCGCGGAGGGGGCGGGGGATGAGCGCCAGCACGGAGGAGGCGGCGGGGCCTGCGGGAGAGGGGCCCTGGAGGCCCTTCGCCGTCCTCGGGCCCGCAGGGGGGCCCTCCCCGGGCTCCGGGGCCCCGGCAGGGAGCGGCTGGGGACGAGGGGCTGGTCCAGGAGAGCCTCCCCTCCCCCCGGGCGTGGGGCCCGCTTCCCTCGAGGCCCCGGCTTCCTCCAGGGCGAAGAGAAGGAGGAGGGCGGCTTCTGTAGGCTCGGTTCGGCGCTCCGCACGGGGCCCACATCCAGGAGCGCCCCGCGACAACCTGCCCGAAGAGGATGGCCGGCAGGGGGGGCGGGGCACCGCACAGAGGAGGACTGGGGGCGAGGGGGGGAGGAGGAGCGAGAGGGGGAGAGGCGCAGCGCTCCGCCGCAGGGGGCGGAGACGAGGGCCGGCGGACAAGGGAGGGGCGAGGCGAGGGCAAGAGCGTCGAGGAGTCGCCGTCCTTCCCCAAGGGGGGGGGGGCGGGGCGCGGGCCCGCCTGCGGCGAAGGGCTGAGGGACTGGTGCGAGAGAGGAGAAGGAGAGAGGCGAGGAGGGGAGAGAGAGAGAGAGAGAAGGAGAAGGAGAAGGAGAGAGGAGAAGGAGAGAGGCGAGGCGAGGAGAAGGAGAGAGGAGAATAAGAGAGGAGAAGGAGAGAGGAGGAGAGAGGGTAGAGAGAGCAACAGAGAGGAGACGGAGAGGGGCGAGGCGAGGAGCGAGAGAGCTCAACGCCACGGAGTGGGCGTGTTGTAGGGGAACGTAGTCTGTCCAGGTCCTCTGCCGAGGCTCTTGTAGGGGAACGAAAAATCGCACATTAGAAAAACTCTGAGGTCCGCGCGGATTTCTTGGATCCGCGCTGGAACCCCAGTCCCTGGCGCGCGGAGCGCGCCCTGGGCGGAGCCGGAGGCGCCGCCGTCCCAGAGCCGATCCGAGAAATCCGCGCGGAGCTTCGAATTGTTATGCTTATGTCTTATGTCATTGTTTGTTTCCCTACGGTGGAGGCGTTTGTTAAGGAATGTGCCCAACAGGCTGCAGACCTTGGATGATTCCTTACCTGATGAGTGCGGCGGTGAAATCCATGGCCGATCCACGATGGGAGTTCCACCAGTTTCCAGACCCTGAACTCCTTATCGAAGGGTTCCTTGTCCAATGCCCCCACCAGCTGCTGCTGTTTTGTCTTCACCGCCCGCGGCGACTGTGATGGGACACTGCGGGGCAGGCCCGCATGCATGATTTCCCCCCTCTCTTTTTGTTCGTTCTCTCTCTCTCTCTCTGAAGTCCAGCTGCTATACGCATGTGTCGTCAACAAAAAACTATCCCCGTACCTTGAGTACTCCCAAGGAGTCTCTGGGGGCCCCGGGCGCCCCACGTGGCCAGAGGAGGGAGGAGGAGGAGGAGGAAAAGAAAGAGGACGAGGAGGAGGAGAGGAGCCTCCGAGAGGTCTCCCAACAGGCCCCAGTATGCAAAGGCAACGGTCATCCTAAGGTTGTTGACGGATTGTGGCGTTCTCGCCTTTTCGGCTCTCCGACGCTCTAAGACGGCCTAAGAGGCCCCCAAGACCACCCCAAACTGCCCAAGAGGCTTCCAATAGGGACCCACGACGATCTAAGAGCGCCCAAAGACGACCCAGAGGCGCCCAAGACGGCCCAAGCGGGCCCCAAGACGGCCCGAAAAGGGGCCCAAGAGAGGAAACGCGAACTGAAAATCGGAGCCTTCAGCCCCAAGAGACCCCCAGAAGGCCCCAAGAGGCGCCCGAGAGGCCCCAAGAGGCCCCCAAGAGGCCCCCAAGACCCCAAGAGGCCGCCAAGAGGCCCAAAAGAGGCCCCAAGAGGCCCCAGAACGACCCCTAAGAGGTCCCAAAACTGCCTCCAAGAGGCCCCCGAGAAGCCTCCCACGAGATCCCAACGAACATCCGATAGGCTTCATACCCACAACCCAGGCAAGGTGGCGGGATGGGCCGAAGGCCATTCGACAGGGGAAGGGATTGGGGATTGACATGAAGGGAACGGGCCCAAAGGGTCCTGGACTCCAGGACTGCTCGCCTGGGCACGCTTTTCGTCCTGTGTCGTTCCTCTTGTGCTGCAGCCCCGCAGAGCCCGAGAAACGGCGAAAAACTTGGACCCGTTTCGCTCAGGACCCCCTTGATTCACTGCGGAAGGGAGGAGGGAGGATGCAGGGCAGGGGAGACAGGGAAGCGGGGCGAGTGCAGGAGACCGAGCCCAGCCGTTCCGAGAGCGCGCCCCGGCGCTGCTTTCAGGCCGCCAAGACCGACGGTGAGAACACGTTGGAGGGGCCTCCAGGAGGCCACCGTGTACACCCGGCGATGCCTCTCTGAGCCCTCAGGCCCGAGATCTTCAACGGGGATTGTCTTGGAGGTTCTCGGCGCTTCCAAGGCCAAGGGCCAAACAGGGGAAAGGGCCTGCCGCAGCAAAAGGGGGGGGAGGAGGAGGGGGAGGGGCGCAAAAACTGCAGGCCAGGGGGAGGAGGGAGGAGGGAGAGGGAGAAAGGAGGGGTGAGTTGATGGAGGAGGCGGAGGAGGGGAAGGAGTGAGGCAGGGAGGGAGGGGGAGGAGGAGGAGTTAGGAGGGGCAGGAGGCGGAGAGGGGAGGCCGGAGGAGGACGAAGCGAGAAAGACGAGGAAGGGCCCAGAACTCCAACGTCGTGTCTTTGCTCGCGACAGTGTGGGCCCCCGAAACCCGACAGTTGTCAACGCCTGACGTCGCGACTCTTTCGCCTCAGCGGGGGGTGGGGGGAAGACGGAGGGAGAGGGGTGGTCTTCGCCATCGGCGCCTTGGCCGTGTCCTCGTCGACCTCCTTCTCGGGATCCCCCTGGACGCCGTCCGAGGCGATGGCCATGACGGCCCCAAGCGGGGTGTCGCCGTCTTCGTCCTCCCGGGGGCTCCTCGTCCTCCTCCTACCCATGTGTTTTGATTCTCGTTCTCGACAGGCTCCTTTTCCTCGTCCTCGCAGGGCTCCTCGTCGTGCACTTCCGCTGGGGCTCGAAGCCCTGAAAGATGTGTGGGTGTGTGTGCGTATGTGTGTGTGTGGTGTGTGTGTGTGTGCGCGCGTGCGTGCGTGCGTGCGTGCGTGCGAGCGCGTGCGCGTGTGCGTGCGTGCGTGCGTGCGTGCGTGAGTGCGTGTGTTTGTGTGTGTGAGTGTGTCGTGCGTGTGTGTGTGCGTGTGTGTGTATGTGTGTGTGCGTCTGCGTGTGCGTGTGCGTGTGCATGTGCGTGCGTGCGTGCGTGCGCGCGTGCGTGCGTGCGCGGAATCTCGTAGTGTGGTGTGTGTTGTGTGTCGTGTTGGGTGGGAGGGGGGGTGCGCGGCTGCGTGCGCTGTGAGGTGTGTGGTGTTTGTGTGCGTGGGTGTGTGTTATGTGTGCGTGTGCGTGTGTACGCGTGTGTGTGCGTGTGTGTTTGTGTGTGTGCGCGCTTGTGTGTGTGTGTGTGTGTGTGAGTGTGTGTGTGTGTGTGCGTGTGCGTGTGCGTGCGTGCGTGCGTGCGTGCGCGAGGGTGCGTGCGCGCGGGTGCGTGCCTGCGTGCGTGCGTGCGTGCGTGCGTGCGTGCGTGCGTGCGTAAGTGTGTGTGTGTGTGCGCGCGTGTGCACGTGTGCACGTGCGTGCGTGTGTGCGTGTGTGCCTGCGTGCGTGTGTGCGTGTGTGCGTGTGTGCCTGCGTGCGTGTGTGCGTGTGTGCGTGTGTGCGTGTGTGCGTGTGTGCGTGTGTGCGTATGTGCGTGTGCGTGTGCGTGTGCGTGTGCGTGTGTGTGTGTGTGTGTGTGTGCGTGTGTGTGTGTGTGTGTGTGTGCGCGTGCGTGCGTGCGTGCGTGCGTGCATGTGTGTCCGGGCGAGAGGGGGGAGCTGAAAAGCGTCTGGTTACCATCCCCGAGTCGCGTTGTCTGAATTCCTGCGGGGCCGTGGGACACGTAACAAATCCGCGCTCCCGGCGCATGAATACTTCGGATATTGCGCCGTATGCGCGCCCCCGGAGCCATGCTCTTTTAACATGCACTATACTGTGAAGCCCCAAAACATTTCTGATAGCTAATATGAGGTTCTGGTAGAACAAGTTAAATTGATCTTCCAGATCGTAACTTGATCTTCCAGATCTTCATTAGATCTGCCAGATATTACACAACTTGAACGGTGCAAGATGTGGAAGATACGGAAGTTAGTTTTTATGTTGTGTGGCCGCGTTTTTCACAGCGTGTAAAGTACGGGGGAAGCTAGGTGTTGGAGTGGTTCTAGTTTTGGAAGTTGCGTTCTAGTTATCTGGTGAGTTTGGTATTACGTTTCACTTTTGTTGAACAAGCATGCGTTGTGAGAATAGGTTTACTACAATTTCATTTTTTTTTTTTTAAAAAAAAAAAACGACAAGTGTGTTATGTATGTTCACATAGCGTTGAATTTATGTGTTGTTTATCGAGCGCTTTGCGATGCATTCAATCATGCGCTTCGCGCCCCCTTCGTCTCCTCCTCCTTCTCCTCCTCCTCCTTCGCCTTCTCCTCCTTCCAACGTACCAAGCTCCTCCTCCTCCGTCTCCCCCTTCTCCTCCTCATCCTGCTTCTCCTCCTCCTCCTCCTCCTCCTCCTGGAGCCTGGAGCGTGAAAGTCTGTATTTCCTCCAGGATGACGAGGAGGAGGAGACGGAGGATGAGGACGAGGAGGAGGAGCTCTCCCCCTGCTCTTCCTCCTCCCCCTCCTCCCCC